GGGCATAAAGTGTGCTTCTTGACTGGATACTAGTAAACAGCCATGTATGTAACATTCGACAATGGATCTGTGAGAACTAAGAAGAGTCGTAAGACCAACAGATGCCTATTCGCAATCGTCTACGCACTCACCCACTGAAGTTCGAATGATACAAAGGAGGAATTCTATGAGAACCTGTCAACTTTGCTAGAGAAAGCAAAACGTTGAGATGTAGTCATAATAGTAAGTGAATTTAACGCTCAAGTAGGGAAGTTGAGCCGATTGGAAAGTCATCTTGTTGATATTTACAGAATCTCATGCAAAAAACCGACAATGGTGATTGTTTCTTGCAATTTTGTTCAGACAATCACTTGTTTCTCACCAGCACTCACCATAAGCCTAAGGAGAGGTACCGTTTCACATGGCGTTCGTGAACATCAAACCGACGATGGATACAGATAGATCATTTTGCTATAAGCCATCATCGAAAAGGATTGTAGCCATTTCTGCAGGGCCTGTTTGAAATCCAATCACGAGCTCGTGTATGTCTGCGCTTTACTGGCAGTGAAGCCTGTCTGTGCTCGACTAGTAGATGATAACGCTAGGTATGCATTTAGAGAGGAGTAAGCTAAGCATTTGTCTAAACGTGATACCATCGCCCATGTAGCGCGATACCAAATCTGCTGTAGAAACGATAGCTGGTAACCTACGCCAGAAGGTTAACGAATATCACTGGATTTCCACAACGCCACCTGAACTAATTGATGCGAGAACACTGATTTCAGCAAACTCTGGCCACGATAAAGAGCGGAAGCAAACTAAACGTAAAGTGATTCAGAGTCTTCGCAATGGTGGGTAGCGACAGAGAGGGAGAACACATCAACGTTGGGTTATACCCGGCAATTATTTAAGTTTATTGAGGACACAGTCAGGAAGAAAAAAATGGCTAGTGAAACCATCATGGAGAAGGATGAGACCCAAGACAGGCGGCTAAAATTTGGGGTGTTACACTTTGAAGCACCAATTAGCTGGCTCATAGCAACACTCCGGTTGCCTAACATTCAGCCTAAACGTGACTATGACGTACAAGTCGGCTCTCGAACTTGGGAAGGTTGTGTTGAACCTGAAATTATGCGAAGCAGCCGGACCTGATAGTTTGCCGCCTGGTGTTTTCATGGAAAGAAGTAGGAAATTGCTGATAAGGGTGATGGGGATACTACGTAGTGTATGGGAATCAGAGGTAGTGGCGTAAAACTGACCACACCACTCTATAAGAAAGGAGAGCGGTATTCGTGTGATAACCATAGAGAAATTAGTTTGATTAATATTGTATCCTAGGGTCAATAGTTATTAGACGCTGAGTGGAGCTCGCGAACAGCAAATTCAAAAAAACTAGGGAGGTATTAGACATTGACGAGGGTGCACCAATCATATTTTTACCCTGGAAGATAGGCATACTTATCGACACTTGTCATATTTGTTGACTTGGAGGTAAGATATAACTCTTTCGACTGTGAGGTATTGTGGCAGTGTCTAACTGTGAAGAGAGTACCGAAGAAGTATATAACGCAAACCAAAGCTCTCTGCTCAAACTCAGACAACCATGTAAGGGCTCACAGAGAGTTTTCATGTGAATTGACAACAATTAGTGGTGTTTACCAGGGATCTCCACTGTCACCGTCTCTATTTAGCTTTGTTATTAACGTACTAATACGCATAACCTTATGTATGTCTGACTTCATATGGATTGATCGCCTCCCTGGAAGTCATCTGGTTTACTTGGAGCATGCAGATGATAACATCCTCCTGGGTGAAGACGATGATAAAATCTGGGGTTGTCTGAAAGCACTGAACAGAAATTCGTGCATATTTGGTATGTCTTTTGCACCTGTCAAATGTAAGATGATGTTCTAGGACTGGTTTGCTCCAACTATCAGTTTAATGATAGGGAATGAAGTGGTGAAATATGTTGACCACTTCACTTACTTGGGGAGTTGCATCACCCCGCTGAACAGCAACATAGGTCTGGTTGCTGACGAAGTCTCAGCTCGGGTCGCCGAGACGAAAGGAATCAGTGGTTGAGGACTCTTGCTGACATATCTGAAAATCGGTTAAAATGGTGCAGATGTATTCACTCCCTGACATCTTCTGAAGCGTGAATATTTGTACTAACCGATATCTTCAGATTGTTCTCTCTCTCTTTTACTTTGATATCACTCTTTTCCTATCTGCCTGTTCTTTGCGTACTACTGTGAAGTGTAGCAATTTCAGTAGATGTACTTGTATGCGAGGTTCTACGTTGATTTTCTTTCTGTCTGATATGCTGGGACTCACGTTCAGTCAATCTAAAGATTTTGAAACGCGACTTCTGTTCTTGTTTTTTACTCTTTTTATCTGAAATATGGTGCAAACAGAAGGCACGATTTCAGTATTCTGTAAAGCTTATTCTTAACTGTGGACTACTGTCGGGTGGGGAAGTGGTTGTAAAATTGTCTCACTAGATGTTCTCATCTTTCTAGCTATATTCTTTGAGTGATCGTATGATCTATTTTACAGCGATCTCTTATGACATCACTATGCCAATTTCGGTGAAGGGAAGCAGATGTATGGTGACATAATTTCAACTATATATTATCAGCTCATTTCTTAAATAAGCACTTCTTTGCTACGATAGGCTTCCTATCTTTACTACTTCTTCTTAACTTATAACAGAAAGTAAAATACTTGCCAAACGCTCAAAATGTGTTCACTGGTTTACATATCTGTACCGCATTGCTCATTCTCGTATCACATGTCAGTCACGTAGACATACTGAATACATAGTTTACTCAGTCATTGCTTGCCAGCAAGAATGCAGAGTGTTTTATTTACCTTGAGTTGTAAACGAATTTTGAAAAAGGTACAATGAAATGGATGGCAACATTTTGTAAACTACATTTAAATTTTTATACCTTATTCATTTGAAGTTGCATGTCAAGATAATTTTTACGTATGTGGAGGAAGTAGCTGAAACAGACAAACCAAATTTTAGGTGTGATTTAGCGGAGTGTATCTAGCACATACATAATTTTGTTAGTTTCATCAAGTGCAGCCTAGGAATATAATAGCTTTTGTAAGTAGTATATGCATCAAGTGCCTAATTTAATTGAAGAATAGTTCAGTATACTGCCAACTAATTTTAAGATTGCAACAAACAAATAATAGACGAAAGGATTTAAACAGGAAGTCACTTATTAGAATTGAAATCAAAATGCACTCAGCCACCTTGTGCACATCTGCGCAGTAGGCAGTGAGCCACGCCTACAATGTGAGGGCTGTCCAAATTTCGGTAGGTGGAGCGGGTCTCGAACCCACAACCCACTGGTTGAAAGTCATCCCCCTAAACCAGTGAGCCACAGCCAGTTTAAAGATACAGCAGTGCTAGAAATCATGAATAAAGGAACAGGATCCAAAGAAAACAATCATGTCCTATTCCATAAAACCTAATAAAAATTTCATATTAGACTGACTATTTAGTATAGCCTTCAGTGATACAGTATTATATACAAAACGACATTTCGAGTAGAATTTATTGCTCATACTCATATCACTCATTGATATAAATATGAGCAGTAAATTCTGCTCGAAACGTGACCCAGTAAATAATAGTGTGTGGCATATCGAATAAACAATTTAATATGAAATTATGCGCCACCACAGTGCCCATATTACATTACTAAAACCAAATTATGTTGCTATTAATATGCCGTAGGAAATGAAGGAATGCGCTGGCTTTTTCGAACTTATATTTGTTCCCCTTATTTTGACTGGAATAGCTCCAGTTATTTGTATTCGTATGAATAGTGATTAGGGGGTTCGTGAATTTATTTTCACTAGATTGAATGTTAATAAATGATACCAGTGACCCTTCACTTTCGTTTTCGTCAATCCCAAATGCCATGTGCATTGGCACGTTGTTAGGAGAACAACATAACACATGGTATACTGGAGTTCTTCGAGTTTACTATAGAGTATCTCATGTAGTAGGATTCGCTTAACAAATTCAGGTGATAAACGCACAGAAAAAAAATATCTCGAACTTCATAGTTATAAAGTTTCATATCTTAGGCTTATGTGTAAACGTTAGCTTCAATTTGGGATAAAGAATTATGGGGGGATAAACAGCAATCACAGTTTTAGAGTGACTTTAGAGGCCACCCTAGAAACTTCTGAAATAACCAATCTGCTTTCGGTATTTCGGCTAGAATGACTCAACACCTCAATTTAGTTGGTTTTCGTTAGGTTGTCTTTCTCTTCGAGAGGCACACTTCCGTGAAAGGGAAGGTTTAGTTTCCAAAGCTCTCGTTTTACATTTTTAGGGAATTTTGGTCTTTTGCATCTCCCATTAGGCAAAAGTAGGAGCTGTGGCTTAGTGGTTGAAAGAGATGACTATCAACCATTGGACCACGGCTTCGAAACTGACCACACCTAGCGAGGTTTAGGCAGCCTGGTAGTGTTACTGGCTCTTGCAAAATAAGTGTGGCTCATCGTCTACTACACGGATGTGCACAAGGTGACTGAGTATATTTCGTTCGTTCGTTCATTAAGCAAAAATCTCTATACCTGCTCAATTGACACTGATAAGTTGTCCAAGAATCGCCGAACTAAGCTTATGTTTTACGTCTACTCATTCACTTCTAACTGGCCACAGAAGTTAAGTTAATCTTGGGTGTGGAAGAACGTCAAAGTTACTCAGAAGGATTCGTACCCATTAAACCAAGTACGTATGCTTCATTTAAAAGACTACAATAAAGAAGAAGCGTTTTGCATGACTCGAATGAAGACTCAGTTACCAGTGCGTTTTACCACATAAGCTCCGATTGTTTCGTCTGTAGAGTATATATTATGGTGTACACTCACTAATAATAAAAAGGGAGATTTGTGAATAACTGAATTGGACGTACGTTAGTTATCTTTCCCGGTAAACTGAAGCACGATACGGAAAAATTAGAAAAACAAAAGATAAATAGATAAAAAAATATTTATTCAGTAGTGGCTTCTGTGACAGTTGATAAGTCTTTTGGTGGTTTAATTTTAGCTTCATACTGTTGTATTTCGTTTAAGTAATCCGTATAGTTGCTTGGAATATCTTTCAAGAAGTCAGGATGAAATTTGATACTTGGAAACCATTCTGGTAGCATGTATGGCTTCAACCAGCTAACAAGCGGAGTTGCTCCAGGTTCATAATTGACATCTTCGTGGTAAAATAAAACACCATCAATCTGAAATGACGTATATATAATTGAAGAGGATATGACATACATAAGTAAAACGGAGTTACCATTATAAAAGCTATCTGATTGGGAATGCATGAGGCGTAATTACAGCAAGGGAACCTAACGAAAAGGACAATATTGAAGAAATATAACAATTCATAGGTTATATTTACAACTTGTGCGCACCGAATAAGAACACTGAAGTCAATGGCTACAATACAACCAACAATTTAGACGCATACACATTCATTTACTACGTCCATTATTATTATTATTTATATCATCATATGATCACAAACCTGATACAACATAGACACTAAGAGATATGCCATACAAAATAAAAAAGCGACACTGTGAAGATATAAGAAAACAGAGAGAATGCAAAACAAAAACGTAAGTGAGTTATTAGAAAGGCAGTCTCAAAGATACATTCGAAGAACCATTCATCACTTTTGTCTCACTTTCCAGAATAATAGAAGAAACAACAAAAGTGCAACATGATCGCCACGGGTTTTCATTCTGAGCCCTACCTGCTATCGTCTTAACCCACTAGAGTTGTATGGTTTCTGAGACCTCATACAGTAAGTCATGGGGCATCTGCCGACACAAAGCTCCTTTATCCCACCGCGCAGCCTCATATACTTATCAGCTGTCTGATTCGTCTAACCAGTCCCACGACAAGAGAACAGTGAGCGATGTGACAGCAACTGGGACAGTATATATAACTCAGATCTGAGCCACCGAGGCCGGTATTTCAAGATGACCACACTCAAAGAATGACAATCGTCATCCCTTCATCTCACATCTGAATTACTTACATAGTGTTTCCAAAGCATTAGAAAGTATTCCTAATCTCGTAATACTAATAACTGTGTACAAGGCGAATTACCACAGTACTAATAAAATAAAAGATGGGACCAATTAGAGTAGACAGGTGTATGAGTAGATCGAAATTTATTTGTCTAAAGGAAAAACTTTTCTGTACGATGAAAAATATAGTACTAATTAGATATCTAGAAGAACTCAGTATTTTCAAGCTGCATAAATGTTTATGAAGGAAATTTAACGACTATGAGTTATTGCTTTGTGGGAAGGGAGAACCAGTTCTTGTTTTTGATCAGAGGTTGAGATACATTATTTTTACTACCATTTGACCTACGATGTTGACTTATCATGACTTTCGAATAACCTTGTGAGCTTTTTTCATTCGTCAACTGGTAATTCATATAAATAGTGTGAATACACAGTGGTCAAAGGCAGTGCATTGGAATAGAAAATCAAACACCGTTTAAAAGCTCTTTATTTGCAAAAAGTAACCTTAATGAACTACTTTATCCACTTTTTCAAGTAACGTAATCACAAGTTATAATGCTTGTGTTGAAAGAAGAGAATACCTTAGATTCTTTGAGCATAGGTCGAAATGCCTACGTTCCGAAGGTGAAAATGTCTTCAATAGCGCAGTCACTCGGCAGCTTATCAACGCATTACACGAAGTAGATACCCTGAAATCCTTCAAAGTAATGAATAAACAGAGTAATTCAAGTCTTCAGAAGTTTTCTGAGAGTGTAGCAATCAAGCGACTGAAACCATAATTATGTGCTCAAAAACAGCAGTGATCAGTTTTTCTTCGTCCTGGTAACCTAGTTTTTTACTCCTCTTGTTTTGAACCAACCCTTCTTATGCTGATCATTTTTACCAACTGTTTATTATTCATTTGTTACATGTCATCAACTAATCTATCCGTTGATCTGCTTGTGTAATCCTTCATTCTAAATATCATAGTACTTTGTTACCATCCACAGAATTTCTCGTGAACTTCCTGTTGAATAAGAAATATAAATGAGACTTCTTAGCATATCTTATTAACTTTATGCAGATGCTTGTATTCCTTATCGTATCGTATCATACTGATTCCTGTTAAATAGCTTCATTTATTTGCAAAAAGTATATTCAAATAACTTTATTAAAAGACAGTTTTTTTAGCTGATGAAAAACTCTAGAAATAAAATGGTACCATGTTATTCTGCTACAAGTGTTGTTCTTTTGCTATTCAAGTTCATAAAAAGGAATATGAGTATGAAAATACGTGTCTTGGTTGGAGAATATTATTGACGTGAGAAGTTAACCTTAAATATTTAGAGTCAGTGTCATTTGATGAAAATTATATGAATTTTAGTTGAACAGTAAACAGTCGATCTGTATATTCGAAGGTGAAGAGTACTAATGGACATAACCCTAGGTACGTCTGACTTCACAGAGACTGACTACCTGGAAGTTATCTGGTTGACTTCCAGATGATATTCCCCTGCTGAGTGAAGACGCTGACAAAATCCAGGGGCTTCTGAACCCATGCGTTGAACAGGAATCTGAATATGTTTGGTATGCGTTTCTCACCTGTCAAATTTAAGATGATGTTCCACGACTGGTCTACTGCAAATACTCCCAGTTTAATGACAGCGAGTGAAATGGTGAGAAATGAATCAACCACTCCAATCACTTGCAGAGTTGCATTAGCCCAAACGGCTGGTTGCTGACGAAATCTCAGATTGGATACAGTTGGACAGTTGCTAACTTGTGTCATCTGTGATGCCGACCGGCGAGATATCCGACTACCTAACAAATGAAGAGTATACTGCGCTGCAATCAGTTCTGTCCTGTTCTACGGCTGTGAGACATAACGGACATGAAGCAGCTGCGAGGTTTTGATCACGTGTCATCGTAGGATTACTTCCACTTTTTATGTGAGCAATCACCGTGTGAGGAATGCGAAGGTCAGACGAAGGGTTCTAGGCGAGACAGGCAAGTCAATTGATGAGGTTGCCAATCTTAGTCGACTAAGATGGCTTGGGCATGTACTGTGCATCCCCAGACAACGACTACCTCGATGTGCCACGCTAGGGGTAGTTGGGTTAGGTTGAAAGAGGGTAAAGAGTGACCAGATCAAGATCTGGCACCAGTCCATAAAGTCTCTGACTGTTTTTCTGAGCCATGTGGGGAGATGTAGACTGTCTGATTGAAGTCGTAGAGACAAAACAAATCAGTGGTTGAGGACTCTTGTTGACATGGTTGGAAATCGGTCACAATGGCACAGATGTATTCACTCCTTCACATCATATACACCTTGAATATTTGCACTAACCGTTATCTTTGGACTATTTATTGTCTCACACAACTTTGTTTACTTTGATAGCATTCTTTTTCTATCCACCTGTTCTTTGTGTACTTCTGTGGAAACATGAGTAGATGTATTTGTGTGCAAGGTCCTACGTTAACGTTTTTTTTTTTACTCAGTCAGTGGAGGTGCGCAGATGTACTGGGCTCGGAGAAAAATTGAGACGAAACTATTTGCTTAATTTTTAATGCTCTTCATTTAACTATTCTGAAATATAAGTCAAAATGACGATATTCTGGCTAATAGAGATAGTTTAACTCAATCAAACACAAAGTAGAATGATTTACGCTTTATTACTATCCTCAATGGGAAACTATTCTTGACTGAAAACCTAATAGTTTTTAATTATGCTGAAATCTGACAATTAACGGTACCTCATCATCATCATCATTATCAACATAGGACCAGGCATTACTGCGTAACGGTCCGAGTTGCCACACCTCATATCAGCACATCAAGTAAAAAGGTAGTGAGGCGAAGGATGAAGATAAGTGAATGCAGTCAAAAGAAATATAAAGTACGAAAAGAAAAGAAAGAGGAGTGACAAAATGGTGAGACTCGGTATAGCGTTGTTAAGATGAGGATAATGTGTGTATACATCTGCGCCACTGACTTCGGTTCTGAGCCATATCACCCAGGGTCTCCAACCACTGGTTCCTCTTGTCCCGGTACCTTACATACAATAAATTGCTTCTCATTGTTTACATCATACTGCTGTGATTATAAAATAGGCAACTTCATAGATAATTGAATGATATTGATTAGTTCATTTTCTATGCAGGAACTTTTCGCATTTTGCTACATAATCATTTTGAAAAGAGTAAATCCAGGTATCAAGTGAAAATATTTTCTGTACTTGAAAGTGTATTTCTCTTTACCTTAACTACATGGTCAAATAAAAAAAACGGTAATGTAAATCAGGTGACCTAGAATCATCAGCAATTTGCATAAGTTTGTGTGAAAACCTTTTGAACTGTAAATGAGTGTAATAAAAACCTTCGATTACATGTAAAAAAAATTCGGTCACATATAATCCGTGGAAAACATTACATCAGCACGCATCGCACTGGCGTGATTTTAACATTTCTTCAGGTTTCGCACCTCAGATGGTAGAGCACCGGGGCCGGTAATCCAGTGGTTGTTGGCTGGAATCCCACCGCGGTTCAGATGTTCATTTCACCTTCAATCATTACCCAGTATCAATACTAGTCTGCCAAACAACGGCTATCTCAGACGGTCAATATAATAAACATTATTTATCACTTGCTTACCTGATATGATGGCATTGAAGAGACTGCACTTTGCATTGATTCTGTATTACACTTATACGATGGGATGACATGGAAACGAACCTATGATGGAAAGAAAACACTACTAGTTATAATAACATGAAATTCTTTTTAACATAACATATCTTGAACCTAAACAATTATATCTGAAGTCATTTGTGTATTACATAGTTCATTTTCGGACTGAAGTTAACTGTGCTTTTCAGCAGGTTTTCCAATGGAGATTAATTACCAAATTAAAATGATAGGGAATGCGATTTGTTGTACATATAATTGGTCCTGTCCAGTGGAAACTAATCATAATGAACGATATGGAGAGCTAAAACTATGCAATTAGAGTACGAGAAACTGTTTCTTGTAACATTAACAGAAAGAACTTGTACACTATAAGCTCTTTATCCTTCAATATTTTTATAAAGTATTATCAAAATAGCCTATGGATGTCATTTCGCATTTATATACAAATTCATACATACTATATTATCCATAGCTCTAAATCTGACGAAACAAATTCATGTTGTCCATATGATTCCCATAGTCAATCCAAAATGGGATGCTTGTGTTTTGAAGGAAAGTTGGTTAGACAGCACTGGAATTAACCGCGAGTAACCTAAACATATAAAAAGCTACCATAATTTCAAATTCAAAAGTAAAGTCATTCATCTTCTAGAAGTCAAAATATTTATTATCCTATACAAATATCAGTAGGACTCGTCAGCTTTTTACTCTATATACATGATTTTATATACTGTTGTGCAATAAAGGAATAAATACACATAAACATATGATATACACTAAGACATTGACTGAGGCATAGCAATATGGAGTAAATCATTTACTTATGTCAAACAAAGCTAGGATTATGTTAATGATGGATCGTGGCTAGCAGTGGAATCCAGGATGTGCATTTCCACTGCTAGCCATAATCCATCATTAACATAAGTAGAACGCAGGCAATATTGAGGCATCCGCACAGCAGCCCATATGCTAATAGAGACCGATCAATTCGGTCCAATCAACGACGGTATCATATAAAAACAATTATACTAAAGCTAGAGGTGGATTACATCATTCCGAACAGAACAATTAGTAGGCAACTAGACAGCTTGATAAAGGTCCACACTAAGAAAACATAGGTGTTAGGTAAACAAAAGTATTGATTATAGTAGTAATAATACGAGTGAGTGACAATAATGATGACAATGAAAATATGAATATTGAAAAGATTAAAAATCACGTGATTTTGAAACGAGATAAATGAACATCAATTAAGAAGCCTGGTAACAGTGTAAAACTAAAGGAGACTAGATTAATAGTTGGACGATAACAATGAGACCGGTGATAGACCAGATGGAACTGTACTAGCGGTACATGGATGATACTTTTATTGTATGTAGAAGTAAAGTGGAAGCAGAAACCCTGTTGAAGAACTTTAACTCTTGTCACGTAAACCTCAAATTCACAGCTGAACACGAAGAAAATAATGGTATCAACTTCCTGGACGTTTGCTTAGTAAAAAGGAATGATGGATCGATAGAAAGATCCATCTACAGGAAGCCTTCATGATCTGGACAATATCTGCACTTCAAGAGTTTTGTCCCATTTCAGTATAAAAGGAACATAATCAAAACCCTATTTGATAGAGCAAAGAAAATGCCTACCCTCAAGACTTTGTCGATAAATATTCGAAAAGTAGACACTGCGAAACAGCAGTTCTCATGGATCCAAAAAAGTTAGTATTTATCAAACTGCCTTTTAAAGGAGACGATGTCTTAGAAGTAGTTAGGCGGAGGCTACACAAAGCCATCAAAAGAACTTATTATGCAGCTAAGCTAGTACTTCTGAACACCACCAAGTGGGTGTTGCAGCAATCAGGAAAAGACATGACTCCTATTCCTCGACACGTCTAACTGTATGTACCAATTTCAATGTACTTGTGGAAGCAAATACATAATTCGTATGGAAAGGCGTTTGTCTACTTGCATGGTTGAGCATTTACCTAAATGGGTGAGGCAAGCCGAGTCGAAAATCCTGCGGAGTTTGATTACGAAACACCAAATGAATTATCGACATGATGTTGTCACCGCTAAGGCCTTCTCGGTTGTCAGCATACAGTGGAATAAGAAAATGCTTGCAATCGTGGAAGCATGTGAGATTAGAGTTCGTAAACCGAGCTTATGTATTCAAAAAGAGGTGATAGTTACCCTGAATCTACCATTGTAGAGTCGTTGGAGTATGTTAGACTTATTTATTTTTATTTATAAATGTCTTGTTTTTCCACTTTATTTCTTCCTATACTTCGCATATTTACCTCTTCACTATGATTTCGCTGTACTATCATGTCTTCTTGAACTTCTTCGTTTACTAGTCAAATGACTTATCACCATCGCTATTATCATTCTTATCGTCCAACTATTAATCTAGTCTCCTTTAGTTTTACACTGTTACCAGGCTTCTTAATTGATGTTCATTTATCTCGTTTCAAAATCACGTGATTTTTAATCTTTTCAATATTCATATTTTCATTGTCATCATTATTGTCACTCACTCATATTATTACTACTATAATCAACACTTTTGTTTACCTAACACCTATGTTTTCTTAGTGTGGACCTTTATCAAGCTGTCTAGTTGCCTACTAATTGTTCTGTTCGGAATGATGTAATCCACCTCTAGCTTTAGTATAATTGTTTTTATATGATACCGTCGTTGATTGGACCGAATTGATCGGTCTCTATTAGCATATGGGCTGCTGTGCGGATGCCTCAATATTGCCTGCGTTCTACTTATGTTAATGATGGATTATGGCTAGCAGTGGAAATGCACATCCTGGATTCCACTGCTAGCCACGATCCATCATTAACATAATCCTAGCTTTGTTTGACATAAGTAAATGATTTACTCCATATTGCTATGCCTCAGTCAATGTCTTAGTGTATATCATATGTTTATGTGTATTTATTCCTTTATTGCACAACAGTATATAAAATCATGTATATAGAGTAAAAAGCTGACGAGTCCAAATGAAATTTAGGAATTCAATAAAGCCTGCCTCAATTGCGTTTGTTGCTTGTTTTAAGGTCATTCTGTAGAACAAAACGAGTATAATGAAGACTGATAGATGTAGAAATAAGAAATTATACTGGGTAGTGATAAAATACCGAAATTTCGTAATCTACAGATTTCATGAGTATTGCATGTGTATTCTAAATTCGAGATGAATTGTCTTCAAGAAACACTACTTGTTCACCATCTTCCTGATGTTTATCTTTTTGTTGTCGTCTAGATCCTCTGTAGGAAAGGAAAAGATTGAGGTGAAGGAAGGAAAGATTATTATTCACATACTGTACAGTAGTCATTAAATATTGTACATTTTCCACTATGGCAGTTATTTGCATAATGTGCTTTTCTCTTCTGCTTCTATCTTGATTTGCCATTAATACGCCCACATTGTCTTTTGCGTTTCTCTGGGCAAAATCTTAACCATTGCTGGTAATTCCCTATGATTTCAGCCGCACTCCTAACTTATACTACTGATTGAATGTCAACTCTAATTGCGTTTCCCAGCATTTCCACAAAATACACTACTTATGTTTTGTGAGTAGTACATACAACAATAATACTGGTTGAACAGAAAAGTGGTTCTAGAAGATGATCACAATTTTAACTGCGCTGCTTCACCATGTCTAAAAAGAGGGAGGAGAAAAAACTGCGGTTTATGAAATGTACATTTCACCTTGAATTACAGCTATCCGTTGTCAGTAAGGTAGTCTTATACGGAATAAACAGGACTTTTCAAATACTAAAATAACTTTCTGAAAGACATTGTACAACCACACATAAGTGGAATGGACAGCATGTTCGCAAAATATTAACCAATTTTCTTGATATGGTACATTGAAGAGGTATCAAATTAAACAGTGTGAGTAATCAATAAATGGAAAGCAACACTCGAAGGCTTCCAGCAGCACAGTACAAACCTTAGTCATGTCTGGTAACATGAGCTACTTTACTTTTTTATCAGGTTCCAAATACTGTTTCTGCTTTTTTAAGGGCATAATTCAGGATATAGATATAGTGGAAGTGATTTTGAACTTATGGCACAGTATTTGTATATAAGTTTATATGAAGGAAAACACAAAATATGAATTAAGTGCTTTACGAACCACACCCATTTAGTTTATTCCAGACATTTTATAAAATATAAAAGTTAATCAAAGCCGCTAAAATTATTTTTAAAGATTTATTAGTTCAATAGTTTCACTTAAGGAAAAATAAGGGATTAACGTCTACTTAAGTCTGACGTGAATACCAATAATAATGATAATAATAATAATAAAAGTGGTAGCTGTTTCTATAGTCTTGTCATTCAAGTTTTGTTTAAAAGTAAGTGAGAAAAGACTTCTATTTTATGACAACGTCTTTTTAACTGAAAAGCGTCATCAACTGGTATTTTTCAAGTGCTGACCACGATTTCTTTTATAACTTTAATCAATTTTTTCCTATTTCGATAGCCACCTTTGACAGAATTAAGACACAGAATTAACTTGTGAAGTTTCTGATTGTTCAGGTGAGGCTATGTAGGCTTTCTATCAGAAATTACAGTGCAAGTGGAACATATGATTGAAGAATTTAAGTGGTATGATTCAAAACCTATCACATTGGTGAATATGTATTTGCAGTGTATTCGTCTAGATGTTGAAAATTTTATTATGGTCATTCTATGTTTTTGTCTCATTAACCTTCACTACCGCTCTTAATATCATCACTTTTATATCGTTACTGATGTGAAGAATATATCATCCTTTTTCGTTGAGACGAAATATAAACACATTAACATGCCAGAATTCTACAGAATCTTGGTATTTTCAACGAGATGCTAACCTACCATGTTCAGTTATGTATATCAACTATGGAGAAAAATCAAGAATTCTAATAAGTAATACTAGTTAAACAATAGGTGGGTACCGAAACTCAATTGATAACGCTCTGGTGTCTGAAGAGATGGGTACTGGGCTTGAGTCTCAGTAGGGATGCGAAAAGCTTCTTAGAACCAAGTGAAACAGATTGATGAGCCTCGTGTGGGACGAAATGCCTGCTCTGAACTTCACTGACCGTGATAACAGAATATGAAATCTAAGTAATAACTTTTTTCAGGACTGCACAGTTCTCATATATTTAGTTGGTAGTTTCCTACGACAAATTTTGTATTATCGTGATTATTCGTTACTGAAAACTAAAAACGTTCCCACTTCTCAAAATAAAAGTAGTGCAGAAAGTAGAAAGAAAGGCTTCATACTACACACTGGCTAAAAAAAACTATACCTATAGAAACCAAAAGCGACCAAACCAACAAGATATGATACTGGCTACAGACCAACAAAAAAAACAAGTTGCAGGATTTCTATTATTGAAATGATGACTTAGAAGCATGAGTTTCTGCTTACTTAATCACATATTTGAATTTAGTCAAACTACTTTAGCATAGGAATTTGGGTGGTACCACCAATCTGTAGACAATGGGTGTAACTTACAGTCTAGTGTATACACAGCTATATATGGTTCACTAAATCAACGGGAAAATACTTAGTGAATTCATGATGAAAAATATTTTTTAAAACTATGTACTCATGATAAAATAAATGGATTACAGAATCACTTTGATCATATTCTTCTATCTGCTGTTTGAGGTATTCTTCCATCCACTGGTATCGTTCATAAAACTGAAAAATAATACACACAGTTAAACGTAATTACCAGTTACCATTCATACAATATCGTTAACACTTGCCAGCCGTTTTAAAAAGTGTATTTGAAACACTTCAACAATACAACAAAGTCATGGTTATGACAAGACAGACAAAAAATACTGTTTCTACAATACTTACTAACTCGAGATGCTTGGAATAAATTTTTCAAAACTATTAGTATGTTACGTTACTGACTGTGACTCTTCAGCTGCCAAAGTAGACTCAATTGTATAATAATTCTGCCTCGGTGGATAAAGGTTTGGCGTTTGAAGCGATAAGTGCAAGGTCCGAGTCTCAGTAGGAACAATATCACTCACTGGGATACAGGTACATCCAGCGGACGGAGAGCATGTCCTGGATTCCGCTGCTAGCCACCATCAAGCAGATTACTATACAAGGACTAATCAGACAATATCGAAGCAGCCGCAAAGGAGCCTATATGTCAACAGAGGTTGATCAATTTGATCCGGTATAACAACGCGAAATTATAAGTTCTAATACATAATTGTGATTAGTTGATTTCTGACCTACATATATAAAAAATTGAACTTTGAGGGGCATAAAACATCGTTTTCACCAGGCTACTCATTACAAAGATAGATACAGTAAAACAAAGATAAATATTTTTAGAAAGTCAACACATACTGGCAGATACCTAAATTATTAGTCTGCCTATCCTTTGACCACAACGGTAACACTCACACGAAATCTGGTCAGCAGAGCTGAGCGTCTTTCCACAATGGAAGAGGATAAAGAGGAGAAAAGGTGAAGTCAGTTTGCTGCACACAGTAAGCAAATAACTATCCAAAAGATTTGGTAAAAAACAATTAAAAACCAAATTAAGAATATACCGTAACTCCCCCTGAAGAACTGGATAAAATGCTATGGTAATTCCATATCGTAAGAGGGACTCAGAAGAAACAGGAATAATTCTCAACAAACTTGACGTCAGAGTCTACTTTCATGCAACAAATAACCTACGTTCTAACTTAATGAAAGTCAAAGATGTAGTACTGAAAGAACTGTGTTCATGAAATCAAATGCGCTAACTGTAATGCAATATATGTGGGGAGACAGCCAGACAAATGTAAGAGTGCGGGAGCATAGCCTATGTTTAAAGCAGATTCCAAAAACCTCAGCAGAGGTTAAGAAGCTAGAATATAAATCAGTAATTGCTCTACACTTCATATAAATGCGCTACAAAACTGACTTTGACGGAACTAACGTTCTATAAAAAGGCTTTGGGTCATGTTAAGAAAAATTGACAGCCAAAGTCCTATATATATGGGCAAATCCAGATAGTGTATAGAGAAGAGATGAAGTACAGTCAGCTGTTTCTTGGCTGGTGGTGTATGGCCGTTCCTAGTTGGTGGAGCGACTTGTCTGGTTAATTCCAATAACGAACGAGACTTCAACCTATTAAATAGTAGACTGGTTTTCTGTGCTCGTTCAAGGTGCTGTTTCTTTATGTAGTGATGTGGTCGTTTTCCGGCGGGTGTGGTGCCAGCTTTTACTTCTTAAAGGGACAAGTGAAACAACTAAGTAGCACGAAATTGAGCAACAGGTCTGTGATGCCCTTAGTTGTCTAAGGCCACACGTGTGTTACAATGACGGCACCAGTGAGCCTGGAAACCTGGTCCGAAAGGGTTGGACAAACTGTTTCATCACCCTTGTGACTAAGTTTGGGGTTTGCAATTATTATCCTTGAACGGAGAATTTCTGGTAAGTGCAAGTCATAAGCTTGAGCTGACTACGTCCCTGCCCTTTGTACACACCTGCTGTCGCTGCTACCGACTGAATGGTTTATGAAAATTGTTGGATTGCTGTAGTTGAAGTGGCTTACCGCTCTACTGATGCTGAGAAGAAGACTTAATTTGACTAGTTAGAGGAAGTGAAAGCCATAACAAGGTTTCCGCAGATGAACCTGCGGAAGGATCATTACCAGATATCCCCATATATACAAACCAAGCTGAGATAGCTGGAGTGTTTACGTATGCGAAATGTGTGGGTTGCAGGTCCATTCTTATGCCGACGGTATATAAATAAAGTGTGCTAAGATATGCCTTAAGATTAATGACCCTGAGATACATTCTCATCCAGATGATATATAAATACGGTAAGCTAAAGTGTGCTGATACAATCCTTATATCATTTCACCGTCAATCATCACCCAGTATAAATTACTAACTGGTAAGTAGAAAGAGTGACTCTAGCATTTACCTCAAACACTAGTCTCAACTACATTATCTTTGTATCAACAACAAAACACAATGTGCATGGATTTGATTCAGCATGATGATCATGATCATCACCATCATTGCTAGCATTCATTTCCACTCTATTCTGGTAAATCAATGAAAAGTTCGTCCGTACTAGTCATTCTTGTATACTAACCGAAAGGACATAATATCTACCTCATATGTACTTATAAAATTACCGAATAACTATAATGTAATCTGTGACCATTGTGTCTCGTATTTACAATCGAGAATAAAAATAACAGCACACACACTATATAACAAGAGATACAATTTCACATTCAATGATTAGTAATCATATTTTAGAATAACAATGACAATAAGAAGAGAATTGGACAAAGATATTAAGTACACGTCTTTGAAATCTTAATTTTCGATTATTTTCCTATAGAAGATCGGACAAGACTTCCAAGTAAAACGTCGGAATTTTTCAAGTATGCTATGGCTTACACAAATATAAACTAAACCTAATGTCAACCTTTTACTCAGTGCCCAATATTTGCCATACTATTCGGTCAAATCTTGATCATAATTTATATAAAAGACTATCACATAGATTACGCACACCCTTTTGAAAGATGGATTCAAAAATGACTTCGTTTCAGAGTGATGTAACACTGTCAGTCTGCCATACCTCCCAAAAAAAAATGTAGCCAATATCCTGAGATTTCAGGATAAGCTTTGAGAAAATGAAGTTTATTTGGGATACAAACATGCTCCTTTTTCTAAGCTTCAACAATCACGATGTCATAACATAATTATTTGTATGCTGAAACCTATTCATATTAAGGATAAGGCTTGTCATTTCAGCCAGAATCTTGATTGCCTATCTGTCGTGTTGATTGGTTTTTCAACTGGTGAACTAGCTTAACACGCAGACGTAATCCACCAAGTGGAATGTCTGTTATATCAGAACATTATTTATTCATACATACGACGCAAACTTATCTCGATTTTTCCAATCAAACATCGGGGATAATGGCACATAAAATGTTTTGGAAATAAACCAGGAAGTTTTATATAAGTGCTGGGGAACTGCTGACTATTAAAATGTCTCAAAACTTTATGTTTTAAAATAACTCTACAACCCCTTAAAGCTTGATTACCGAGAAACGTAGATGAATAGTTGAGCAAGTAGCCAACTAAAAAAGTTTTGGAAAAAAAAACCCTCAGACTTACAACAGAAAATTTAGAAAGAAAGTGTTACATGAAGAATGACGTGATATTACAAGGTGAAATTCTGTAACATATTTAAATTCAATAGTAGAAAGTCAGTAACCAACACAGAAGAGACTAGATCAAGGATAAAAAGGTTACGGAAATGTGTAGTAGCAGTAGTAGAAGTACTTACTCGGAGACTGGCGTACGTTGTACATCTCATAAAAATGATATCAATCACATAGAAATTATAAAGTATTTGATTTGTTTCACAATCCAATTGGCAACTGTTGACATCAGTGTTTTCTACTGGAGGGTAGTACAGGATACAATCTAATAATGTTGTATATGAACTGTTTTGTTTATCACTTTGACCTAAGCCGCCTCCAGGAAGTCGTGAAACGATAGACATTATCCGACGTCCACTTCTAGTGTACACTTTTGTCTTCCCCTGTAAAAGTATTTAAAAACGTTTATATATGTCTTAGTAACTAGTTACAGAAAAGTTTATACAGATAAACATTGTTAACATATATACAGTCCAAATGTCAAGCACTGGCATAATGATAAGCATGACTTGTCAATACGAACTTATAAATTTTCGAATTAATCTAGATGAACTCTGACAGTGACACTTTTCAGTCAGTTCTCTATATATGAATGACAGTGTTCTTATGAATTCATACAATACCTAAGGTATCGTATCGTCAGATAATGAGATAAAATTGAGTTATCTGAAGAAAAAAAACTAGAACAGTGATACTGTAAACTGCTATCATAATCTTAATAATCAGTTATAGGGGACAAATCGAAATGCTCCCACCAATAAGCCATACAATTGTGTAAGGCTTGATGATTCTACCTAGCCTTTTAAACCTTGGTGTAGGTGAAGCGGAGTTCGAAGTCATGACCCATTGGTAAAAATTCAACTGCTTAAACCGATGAGTTACAGCTTCACAAGTCGTAGGGACTTTTTCCTTACCTTGATTTGATTTTCAAAAAGTTTGAACCATACAGTATCATATGGACGGATTATTTTCCGATTAAAAAGTAGAAGGAAAATGAAACTAAAAACGTTATTGTTCTATAGATTATACAAAGGAATCCGTGGTTTTCTTTAACTAAGTAGTGAAGTTATTTTCTGATGCACTTAGATAGCATTATAAATTGCTCCAAAAATTAGAAGTTGTTCAACCGTCGTGTCAGTAGAAATATAAGATAATGATAAATAGTTGGTTGAAAACAGTCGACAGGAAGCCTTGGACCTAGGTTTCATGCTTGTTGGCATTCGTCAGCAAGGCATATCTACAATCTCTACGGAACTGGGCCCGCGTCACCCATTGGTAACGTCGCTGATAACACTGGGTGACGCGAGTTCGTGTCTCGGCTAGGACATTAATTCCATCGAGGTTGCAGATAGGCCATGCTGATGAGTGCCAATAGGCATGTAACCTAGGTCCCAAGGCTTCCTGTCGATTGCCTCCAACCAACTAACACCTACTAATGTGCACTACAATGCTAAACCTCTTAGCTTGGTGGTCATATTGCGAAAGTGATCGATAGAATTTGGTCTGCATTCAGGAGTAGACAAAATGAAATTGTTTTCTCTCCGTGACCAATCAATGTAAGTCAATACTTCTTTTTAAAATGTAACAAATCAAAGTAATCAACGTGCGTACAGAAAAACTAGAGTTTATCTATTTTTCAGTTTAGACGAGTACACATGAAATTTAATGCCTTCGAATTAAGGGATATAAACCTAAGGAAGTCTCAGAAGTAAATTTCAGTGCTGTTTTTACATAGTTTAGCTCTTGCCCATCCCAAATATAACATCCACTTCACTTTACTGAAGATGGACAAAGATTTCAAATTAGGAGTATTTTTAGCACATGCTGGAATACATAAAGTATGAATCGCCAGTATACAAACCATGAAAAGAATATTGAAAATATCATAGTGGGTCAAAAATTGGAAAAGCTTTAGGGTAACTTAGTTTTATAACTCCTTTTCGCCACTTGTTATAGCCTTGTTGTCACTTATATATTTGTAGTCTTTATATAGCCTGAGTTATATGTATGTGCGGATGCTTGAACAATAACCTTCAGATTTCGCTCAGTTTTCCAGATAGATGGAAAAGGCGGTAGTATAACGGTGTATTGCAACGTCGAAGTATATATATATATATATATATATATATATATATATATATATATATATTGTAGGAAGCTTCAGCGATTTAAGGCTTTTTATGAAGATTATAGCAATCATACAGCGCAATACAACACTCAGTAAGAAAGGATGAAATGTAGACATCCGCAAATCATCGAGAATGTTTTGCAGTGTCCACATAAAGAGTGACTAGTATACATTGGGTCTATGGAGAATTATTGTAATGTATACAATTGTGTAACGATTGCAGTGCAGTACTATTGTGACTGGTCTGAATGTTTGACATGCGTGTAAACGGAAGAATGTATCACCATCCTGGAAGTTTCTCGGACATAATCCAGGATTAGAGGCACACTGCAGCTATTAATCAAAATATAAATTGCTTTGAAATAACAAAATCTGTCCTAAATAGCCCCACCCAAGCTAAAAATATTTATATGATATTATGAAATTTAAGTTTCTTACTTTAGACGCTCTGATAAACACATGACGGCCTCTAGGACATAGTTTCATATAATACTCCTCTTCGAAATTCGGAGGCATGAATAAAAACCATTCAGCCAGCATAAGAAGGTTTGAATGACGACGCCAACTCTTTATTCCAGAGCTTAATGCAGTGGATACCCAAGGGTGTTTCGAATCTTCTTTTTCATTCAGGGAAAAACGATGACAATCGAAGTGATCCAATCTTTCGCTCTTAGATCTAAGTTTACTGAGTTCTTGACGCCAACGCCTTTCTTGATCAGCACCTCGACCTTTATTTTTATATAAAGAAAGACGTGGGTGTTTTTCTGATTCAGCAACAATTTCCAGATTCTCTTCATCAATATCCAAGGTTGAGTCCCACTGTTGGCATAAAGAATCTAATTCCATTGTTATAAAGTTTAATTTTCTCAAAAATATTACATCAAATCTCTGAAAGAAATAGTTTAAACGATTAGAAAACAGAACATTGTCTAATGTGGATGACATTTTTAAAGAAACGCAGTTGTGCACCTATGATCGTGAGATAAACGAATAGCTATCTAGTAAACTTGGATACATAAGTTTTACTGCATTATCATCTTAACTTCTATTTCTCAACAGTAGGATTAGGTTAGAAAAGGGTCCAGGGTGGCCAGATCAAGATCTGGCACCAGTCCATAAAGTCTCTGACTGTTTTTCTGAGCCATGTGGGGAGATGTAGACTGTCTGATTGAAGTCGTAGAGACAAAACAAATCAGTGGTTGAGGACTCTTGTTGACACGGCTGGAAATCGATCACAATGGCACAGATGTATTTACTCCTTCACATCATATACACCTTGAATATTTGCACTAACCGTTATCTTTAGACTATTTATTGTCTCACACAACTGTTTACTTTGATAGCACTCTTTTTCTATCCACCTGTTCTTTGTGTACTACTGTGGAAACATGAGATGTATTTGTGTACAAGGTCCTACGTTGATTTTGTCAGTCAGTCTCAGTAGTAGTGAGCCATCAGTTGAACGAGAAAACAATTACAATAACTGTCTCAAGTCTAGCCAAGTTAACATACTAAATTATCAAGCCCTAGAGGAATAATCGTTCCAGTCAAAAGGGGCCAACTGACAGGCAAATTTAGCCAATACATTAAAGTGGCAAGTGTCATTCAAATAGTCATCATTCACCCCAATGGTGATGGACGTGCCACTTATTTCCCTAGAATACTATTAGTCTTTTGGTTAATTCGAATCGTATGAATATGACATGAATTTGTCCAGGGTAACCGTCACTCTTCTTGGATAAGCACAAGACACCGGAATATGGGAGCTTCCCAACAAACTATTTATGATCGTCCGTAGAGAAGTCCTATTCAGAAAACTTCCCACTTATCGGAACTTGCAAGCTGCATAGGAACATCATTTAATTTGTCATGCTTTCGGATCCTGGTCAATTCAAAGTAAATGACTAGAATAAGCCCTTTTATTATCTATTTCCCAAGTTAAAATTTTGCTTATGACTCCGAATGGTCACAGCGGTTCTCGTAAATATATGTTTACTGGCAAACAAGCACAGATTTACACAACAGCCTATCAGATTTATCACATCAAGGATAATTACGTTACACGGTTACCCAAACCTCGATAATTTCCATGGAATTTAAACGAGACACCCAGTGGCAGGAAGTTCATGGCACAATTCTGTGAACAGTCACTTTTTATAAATGTAGATGGCTCGAAATATTACATCATAATGACTCGAAGAGCTCTGCTGACAGAATGCTTGTTTTCTTGAGTTCCTACCAAACTAGAAAGGTCAGTTCGAAGTGGCAATAAAAAAAAGCAGTTGTCACAGTCCAAATCGCTGCACTATGATGAGGTTCTGGGGATGAAGTCATACTGCTTTCTCGATAGGATGTAGTAGTAGCAAGGTGCTACTTGCAGACGACTGGCAGTGCTATGTTTATGCTGCATTTCCTAGGGAAAGAGTTAAAACATTTAGCCCTGAAATTGCACACACACCTCTCTGTCATATTTTGGTACGGGATATGTTTTCAGATAGGTTCTAAAAAAGCAAACTAAAACCTTAAACGTCTAGAAAGGTCGTATGTGACCGGCCTCAAGCAGATGTGCCATTGGCTCTGTGGTCACGCACTAACCCTTCTTTGCAGTTATCTGAAGAAATAGCCTTCCACGAAGTGGGCAACAAAAAAGTCTCAACCACTTTTACAACTGTCAGCACTCAACTTCTATCAGATTATTATCAACCTTCAACATCCTTACCCTCCAAACTTCTTCTATAACTCAGTCAATAATTCTACGTCATTATTAACATCTTCCAGCTTTGTAATCTTCGATAACGATCAGAGTTAACGGAGCAGCATCCCTGGTCCCCTAAAACTGCGCTCCGAACTACACGTCAGGGTTTTCAACAACCATAGGCTTCGTCAAGTCGTCCAACAACTTTTGTTGACCAAAACTCTGGCATCTCAAGCCATGGATTTGTGCTGTATTTGCGAGACATGCATTAACCTGACCTCACCTAAACAAAGTGGTGAACCCGCTAAATTTGTCAGTTTTCTGGAGATCTGACGTTTAGCTCTTGTGGTCTTGTAGGTGTTGGTATAGCATTTAAGTGCTAAGACAGAAAGTGAGCCGGTTGACTGTATTCCAGATAACAGTTTCCTGTACGCTATTTGACTGAACGGTGTAGTGAGGACAAGAAAGAATGGCATACTCGTTTCTATCTCTTTGTGAACTTTCCTCACGCACTCACTGACTGCAACTCGAAGGAAATGAAGCTTCCAATATATGACCACCGTTGCCATCATAGCATGAGTCAAGTGTCATGATGTAAGTGATTCAGTACAGTATAAGTTCAGGTGTACGATTCTAAGCAGAAGAGAAAAGCCGGTCAATGCGATTGTGAACCTTCACCGAGTGAGATATATATTATGCACATCCAGCCACTATTCTCCCCGTCAAGCAATATCAGCTGGATTAGGTTTATGCTTGAAAAAAATGCAACCAAACTAAAATATGGTATCAGTCTTGAAGTTTTTGACTGTTGGGTGGTGAGAACCGCATCCCAAACATTCTCAAATTCCCATTCAGTGTTCAGAAGATTCTCCATCTTGTCAGCATCTTCACTTAACAGGACTATGTCTAATGAAAAGGAGAATTTTCATCAGACCTAGAATATGCAGATGACATAGTCCTGTTAGGTGAAGATGCTGACAAGATGCAGTCTTCTGGAGACTTTGAGTGGCAATTTGAGGATGTTTGGGATGCAGTTCTCACCACCCAAATACAAATTTTTGCTCAAAGATTGGTCTTCATCAGTACCACGGCTAACAATAGGCAGTGAAGTAGTTGAATGTGTCAACCACTTCACTTACCTGGGAAGTAGGATCAATCCTGGTGGGTTAGTTGCCGATGAGATCTCTGCATGGATACAAAAGGCTCGATTGGCTTTTGCCACTTTACGCCACCTATGGCGCCGCCGTGATATCCGTTTGTCTATTAAGGGTCGCGTGTACTGCACAGCGGTCCGGTCTCTTCTACTGTATGGCTGTGAAACATAGCCATTGAAAGTGGAAGATATGAGAAGGCTTCAAGAGTTTGACCACCGTTGCCTTCGTAGTATAGACCGTATTCCGTGGTATCACCACGTGAGTAATGCAGAAGTCAGGTATAGGGTTTTAGGGAGTAGAGGTAAATCAGTTGACGAAGTTATGAACCTTCATCGACTGAGATGGTTGGGACACGTACCACGTATGCCTAGTCACCAATTGCCTCGTCACACAATGTTGGCTGAGGTGGGTCCAGGCTGGGAAAAGGCCCACCGAGGTGGCCAGACTGAAACATGCCACCAATGTATGAAGTCTCTGATTGTTGGTTTAAGCCATGTAGGACGATGCAGACTAAGTGGTTGGGGTCCGCGGGACAAGAGGAACCAGTGGTTGGAGACTCTAGGTGATATGACTCAGAACCAATGTCAGTGGCGCAGATGTATACACACATCCTCATCTTAACGACGCTATATCGAATCTCACCATTCTGTCATTCTTCTTTTTTTTCGTCTCGTACTTTATATTTCTTTTGACTACATTCTCTTATCTTAACCCTTTACCTCACTACCTTTCTACTTGATGTACTGTACTGTACTGAGCCGTGGCAACTCGGACCGTTAAGCAGTAATGCCTGGTCCTATGTTGGTATGAACTGTATAAAAGAATAAAAACTTCTCGATTGAGGTCCGAACGACAACAGAAATAGATGGTTGAAGACTAGGTAATATGACTCGAAAACCGATCTCAGTGGAACCAATGTATTTACACATTATCTTTATCTTAAATGTCATATTGAATTCCAATATTCTAATTCTTCGTTGCTTTTTGACAGCTTTCTACTATTTTTGATCTATCTATCTTTCATTTTGGTGCATTCTTGCTTGGTGTGGCAAATTGAACAACTACGTAATTTCAGGTCTCACGTCAATTATTCTGTCTGCCCCTAATCTTATAGATGAAAATAATTAACGATCTAGACCAGTTGACGAAACTATTTCGGACTCAGTGCGCTACGTATTCTATATGGTGATTCTCTACCTCTTTCCTTAAAATATCCTGTTGATAAACCTTCAGGCCAAGCTTCTTTGCATATTTCCCGGTTTGAAAGAGATAACACAAATCCGAAAAGAACTGGAGGACTGACATCTAAGTCTCATTCAGGTTCGGGCTAGATACTAGGACGCTCAAATGTGGTTGTAGACCAGCTGAGTTGCGCTTAAAAAGTTCCAAAAAACCTTCGAACCATCTCTTCTAAGAGGTTGTGTGACATCCTTCTGGGCGATGATCTCACTATCATCTACTTGTTAGTATGCTTAACAAACCCAAACAACTATCAAGTATTACCTAACGCTTGTGCCTTTTCTATCTCATTCTCTTCCACTACCCATCACTACCTGCGATCATTGTGAAGACTCTTGGCCAATTTATGTGTAGATTGATATCGCTCCACATAGTTATCAAAATTAGCTGGAATGAGTCCTGTCACATTATTCAGTTTGGATGAGGTCGCAGAAACCCATTGTTTTTTTAACTTTTGGACGCAGGTTACAAAATGTCTTTACTGCTGTTTTCACAACAGACTATACACTACAACAGGTTTTTTTAGGAAGAGGACTGCTGCTATGTTCAGATAAATGTTTACCCACTTCCACTTTGAATCCATACTTAAATTCTTCAACGTACAGTTGGGCACGCAGAAGCTTCGCTGCTGTTCTTTTTATGAGCCATCTAAAGTACAAACACACGCGTAACTATACTATGCACGATCGGCAGCATCCCTCTCCAACGATAGCTTATAGTAATATGACCTATCTGAGTCCACCATGTGACGGCAATGGACGTCAGACGAGACTGTCTCTTCTTCTGTTTGAAGTTAGTGCTGACTAGAAAAAGAGAAAAATTGTATGAAGTGATCGCCGTTTTCGGTCTGTTGGTATTGGATACCGCAGATACCTCCAAAATGCCTCTCCAATTGGCTCAGATTTCCTAATTGAGCGTCGAATTCGTTTGCTACTATGACCATGTCTTAACATTTTGCTTTGTGTACTGAAACTGACAACTTTTCATGGAACTCATCCTTCGTATTATCCAAAATGCAGTCGGTGAATACATGGGGGAAACTCTGAGTTGGTGACAGTGAGTCACAATCTTTCCTAGTTCTTACAGATCCATTCAGTCGAATAGCACACAGACGGCCGTTGACTGGTACCCAGTCGAGAAGTGCGCTTTTTCCTTTACAACTTAGTGCCAAACCTACACCAGCGAGTATATGGGAGCTAATCATTGAATCTATGGACACTCATAAACTGAATTTTATAAATTTACTATATGGAGTAGGTGAAGTTCAGTGGATTATCGTACGTGGGTTCCATATGCGTGTCTTAGAAACAGCATACATTCACGACTCCGAGGTTTGGACGCTGAAAGCTCCAATGTGAAATTAGCAACGTGATTCAAGGATACTAGGAACGACATTTTGTTGGCTTGAACCGCTAGCAGTGGTTGTCGAATAAGTTGACGAAATTAATAGGGGCCTAATGTTACTGCCAGGAAGTAAAAGCTGGGGAGGAGGCAAAGTTAAGGAGGGTTGTTATGGTCAGTTTGATTTTGTTCACTATTGGAAGCGTGAGAGTGGTTGGAAATTCCCATCATTCCACACCGTGGGAGTTGTTTCTGCGAGTTACACGAAAGACAGATCAGTTTTGCTAGATCGTAGAGTTCATGGGACATCCACTTGAGGTCGATCATACAAAGCCTTTTCCTGACAGCGGAATACTACAGGTCATGGATAAATATGCTACTTATGGGGCCGACATTTTCTAACCCTCTTCTTCTCATAGTAAAGTCAACGTCAGTAGGAACTGCTGGTCAACCGTCAAAAACACCTTACCGCTGTCACATCCCTGTTTGGCCAGCAGCACAACTTCGCCCTCGGACTTCTATCATAGTGCCAATATTTACACTATAACCGTAACTCCCCAGTGTATTTTCACTACCCAAAAGACCTCCAGCATGGCAGAACCTCAAGATACCCGACTATCGGAAAGACAATGAGAATACTACACTGTAGTCTGCTGGATCTT